CAAATCATGAACGCAATCGATCCATTTTAGCAAGGTCGCCATAGCCATGAATCATGATGCCCGATTACTCCATTAAAATTAAACCCAACTCTTTCATGCCTCCTCAGTCTGCTCCTCCTTCTCCCACTTCTCCTTGTCTCCAAGCTTACACCACGCTGAGTTAGAGGGTGTTTGGCTAAGCTTAAAAAAGTAAGTTTTTAACTTATTACTAGGGGTGTTTATGGGGTGGTTCGGTTTGAACCGTGAACACGGGGTGGGTAACTTATGTGCACTAACCAACACCGAACCAAATTGGCCAAAAAAAAAAACCAAACCGAATCGAATCAAATCGTTTGAAGGTGGGTAACCACAGTTCAGTTCACGGATACCCACTAAATAAAAAAAAAATCAAATTCAATCAAAACTATCAATTCAATTTCGATAATTTCTCTAAATCGGTAAGTCACGAAGTCATATATATATATATATATATATATATATATATATATATATATATATATATATATATATATATATATATATATATATATATATATATATATATATATATATATATATAACATGAAAACTATTAAATGTAAAAATTTGTTGGGGGCAATGAAGATGTATCATGCATGTGGATCATTTCAAAACAATGCCGATGAATAATACTTTCAGTTCGGATATCTGCGGATACCTATATATCCAAACCGAAACCGACCCATAGATAGTTGGGTTTTTCGGTTTTAGTTTTTTTGTTTCGGTTTAATTCGGTTTTGGTTTTTTCGGTTTCAAATTGGTTGGATCGGATCGGTTATTCGGTTTTGCGGTTTTTTTGAACACTCACATTTATTACAAATTTCTTACCGATAAAAGTTAAAAGAAAATATGTGTATAAACATTTAAAAAAAAAAACAAAATTATAATAAATGACTTTTATAAGTTACCGAATATCTGTGGATACCTATATATCCAAACCGAAACCGACCCATAGATAGTTGGGTTTTTCGGTTTTAGTTTTTTTGTTTCGGTTTAATTCGGTTTTGGTTTTTTCGGTTTCAAATTGGTTGGATCGGATCAGTTATTCGGTTTTGTGGTTTTTTTGAACACCCATATTTATTACAGATTTCATACTGATAAAAGTTAAAAAAAATACGTGTATAAACATTTTTTAAAAAAACAAAATTATAATAAATGACTTTTATAAGTTAGATATCCATAAAATAAATAAATAAATAAAATTAAAAAAATAATAATACTAATAATAACTCCTTATTTCACCGTTTGAACATAATAACCTTTTACATACAATATCATATATACAAAATTACAAATCACAGACGTCTCCATCTGTCGATCATTTCTCCAAGTGAGACCTTCCCTGTAAAGCCACCCGCCGGAGACCGTCGCACCCCCACAGCATCAGTGGAGACCATCGACCCCACCCCTAGGTTCGTTTTTGTTCAAATTTTCCTGCTATCTTCGTTTTTTTCCTGCTGTCATTAGCATACTTTGTTGCTTCATTGAATCTATCAATTGATTCATAAGAATTGCAAAATAGAAACATTCACTCTGTGTGGTTTTTTTTCCTGTTGTCTGATGTGGATTTTTTTTTCTTAGCCTTATTCTTCAATTCTATTAATAATTGATACATAAGAGCTGTGACAGTTGTTTATCTTTCAATTATGTTATATGATTGTAAGATGTTAGATGTTAAATCAAAATGTCAAACCATAAGAACAGGAAACAAGATTAATTACCAAACTGTTTGTCAATGCTAAATCTGTAACCTATATGTTATATTCATAGGATGCTTATATGATAATAAGCTATAAGTTAATAAGTTAAAAGCTATTTTAATAAGCTTTGCGAAACAGACTTAGTAATGGCTTCGTCACGAGAACTACAAAAAGAGTTGGAGGGGAAAGCCAATGATCTCAGCAAAATCCAAAAGGGCAAGTCATGACTCTATCATCCACATAACATAACATCTATTACTATTACTATTACTATTATTATTATTTTTACTGAAATGAAATAAATCATAAATTAATATTTTGATTTTTGACATTGTGTATACATATCCAAGAACCACCAAGTCAGAAAGAAGTACACCATCCAACTTGGTGAAAATGAACTTGTCCTTAAGGTTTCCCTTTTTAATGTTTTCAAATTTGGGTTTCGTTTTTTCTTTTAGCAATTCACTCTAATATTACTATGCCATTTTACTAGCATTTTATCATTGTGATTTAATGAATCTCTTTTTTGTTTACAGGAATTGGATTTGTTGAATGAGGATGCAAATGTGTACAAATTAATAGGACCAGCGCTTGTAAAGCAAGATCTAGCTGAGGCAAATGCAAATGTTCGCAAGAGAATTGAATATATTTAAGCTCAGTTGTAAGTTTAAATTATCATATTTATGGGTGCATGTTTTCACAACTCATTATTCGTTTTTTTGTGCACAAAACCTCTAATTTCTTTAATTTATATGTTTGTATAACTAATTTAGGGTTTAGGGCATAAAGATCTTATGGAACAATGTTATGTTAAAACATATAAAGTTTTGCGATAAATAATTATTTGTTACCTAAAAAATAGTTTATTTTAGCCTAAATAACAACTTTTTTAGCCCAAAATCAATCGGGGCGGGGGAACGTGGGCGGGGGTAATAAAGGGGATCCGGGGACGGGAGGGGGGTAGGAACATTGAACATTCCGGGGACGGGGGCGGGGACGGGGAACAGGGAAATTTCGGGGGCGGGGCGGGAGATGCACTCCCCGTCCCATTTGCCCCCATTGACATCCCTAGATTTAACTCTTCAGGATATGGAGGAAAAGCAAAATAGCAAAAAAGAAACGGTTAGTGTCACCTTTTCTCTTTTTCATCATGAGTTTTTATAATTTAGATGATGTTCATAAATGATATTATGACAATAGTTATCTAAGAATTGATAAAAAAAATTACTTTTTACAGATTTATAAGTTACAACAAATGATTCAATCTCTTCAAGCTGGAAAAGGCAAGGCTTAATTTGCATTATGACAAGTTCATGTAAAATTTGAAAATGTTTGCATGTAGTTTGAGATTCATAGAGTTCTTGCATAATTATATTTTGGAATTGTGATTTTCACTACAATGTTATATTTTTCATTTTCTAAATCATTTTAATAGTTTTTTTAGTTAACATATAGTTGTGTTCTTATAACTTAGATTGACGAGAATCATATTGTGTTCTTATAACTTTAATAAAGAAAAATATGTAAAAATATAATAATAAAAAACTAAGAACTAAAGTGGTAAAGATATGTTGTGTTCTTTTATAATTTCTAAAATCCAACTTTATTTTAAATAATATAGAAAGTAACAAGACATTCACAAATTGCGCCTGTAGCTCAGTGGATAGAGCGTCTGTTTCCTAAGCAGAAAGTCGTAGGTTCGACCCCTACCTGGCGCGAACTGTTTTTATTTGACAAAAAAACAATTATTATATTGTTTTTGATCTTATAACTCCAACCTATTTTTATCTTTATATTTTTTAAATGTTGAACCTTTCCACATCAAATTTTATAAAATATCATTTTAATCTTGTTTATTTTCTTAACTTTTGTATTTATCTTCATGGATTGACGTTTTTAAGATGTGCGAGGTGGACGACCACACAATGACCATATCATAGAGGGGGTCTAATCTTTACATACGATTCATTATAGTAGACTAATAATTCATGCTTGAAAACAAAATTGATTTAAATGTATCGTCACCTGCCCAAAGTCAGTTCACCCTATGATTCTCGTCAATCTAAGTCAGAACATGTTATATCAGTTATCACTCTTTCTCTTGAACCTACTAGGTCATGAGGGTGTGTGTGTGTGTGTGTGTTTGATTATTGATTAATTGATTGTTTCAAAATCAATGCACCATCTGATTTAGAAATCAAAATTGTAAGTTTCAAAATCCAATAAGATCACTCAATTTCATAATTGCTTTTGGAATTCAATTTTATATTATTGATTAATTGATTGTTTTAATTTTAAAAATCAAAATCGAGTTTTTGAGAAATCTAATGCTCGGCTCTAGTGTCTCAATTTCATAATTGATTGACTTCTATTGTGGCTTGTGTTTTTAATTGTTTCACTTTCAAACGATTATTTCTTTTAAAACAAGATTTGAACAATACAATAATTATGAAAAGAATCTTGTTTTTTTTTTTTTTGCAAAAATTAGAGTTTGATGACAAATATCTTAAGTTGTGTTGTAGTCGTCTTGAAGCCACACTTAAGTATGATGAACGATCAGATATTGCGCCAATAAACTTTATCTAAAGCTAAATACGGTTGACGAGTTCTTACCAAATGATACTACTCACTCTATCAATGTTTTAAAATACATCAAAAAGTCGGTTGTTTTCCTAATGCATATAAAATCTTGGTGATTATTCTAGTAATCGTTGCATCTATAGAAACATTTTTCTCAAAATTGAAGTCGTGAATGTCCTACGTATCGTCCACAATGTCACAAGACAGTTATCACCCATCAACTTTGTAAAATATGAGGTTGACTCATTCGATTTTGAACTTTGTAAAATATCATTTTGAAAACACATACATAAATTACCAACATCACAATGTATAATGATGATAAAAATACAAAATAAATAGCATTAAACTTGTATAAAAATGAAATAATTTCAACTTCAAACGCTAAAAATAATAATCTAGTATCTATACGTATTTTCTAAGACTTTGACCAACATTTTAGAATAATATTAACTTCAAACTATTTTGTTTTTGTTTTTATACCCAAAAGAACAACCTTCCAATCATTTTCGATTAAACGGAAATAACACTTTTCATTTCTAATTTACACAAGTAAACAAACCGACTGACATGAATCTTTAAAATTCGGTCGAACATAATCTTCGTGTTATTTTCAAATTAAATCAGCTTCTTTATTCTTAAATATTTATTCCAAATTTTGTAACAAATAAATAATCATAGATTAAAAAAAACTCAACTAACATGATCAACCAACCTCCTTTCCACATAAATTGTAACCACCACTCTATTTATACCAAAACTCTTCACTTCCTGTTCCTCACCACCACCACCACCATGGAACCCACCATCATAGGAACCTCCGATTTCATTAAAGCCTACTCCGATGGTACCATTGAGCGTTTCATACCGGAAACATCTCCGGCCTCTCTTGACTTGTACGATGGCTACAAGTGCAAAGATGTAACCATAGATCCATCAAAACCAATAACTGCAAGACTTTTCATCCCCACCGCCGCCGTCATGCCACCATCACTACCAATCGTGGTATACTTCCACGGCGGCGGTTTTGCAATCGGCTCCACCACATGGCTAGGCTACCATCACTTCCTAGGAGACCTTTCCGCCGCCACTAAATCAATCGTTCTTTCCGTCGACTACCGTCTCGCACCGGAAAATAGGCTTCCGATTGCATACGAAGACTCTTATGCATCCCTCGTTTGGTTATACAAACAAAAACCGTCCGATTCCTGGCTCCAAGACGCCGATCTTTCTAGGGTTTTCCTCTCGGGAGATAGTGCCGGAGGAAACATAGCTCACCAAGTAGCCATTAGAGCGATCCGGGATACGCAGTGTCCGGTTAGGGTTTCTGGAATACTCTCCATTCACCCGTACTTCGGTAGTGAGAAGCGAACCGAGTTAGAGACGAAAGTCGAGTCAGCTGATGATGTGAAGTCGAACGATATGTTTTGGAGCCTAAGCGTGCCTAAGGGCTCGAACCGTGACTATGACGGGTGCAACCTTGAAAAGATGGTGGTCTCGATGTCGGAATGGAATCGGTTTCCGGACGTTCTTGTTTTTGTGGCGGAATTTGATTTCTTGAAGGAACGAGGAGTGGAGTATGCCGAATTTTTGAAGGGAAAAGGCGTGAAAGTTGAACTTATTGAGACGAAAAACGAAAAACATGTTTTTCACGTTTTCCGGCCCGATTCCGAGGAGACTAAGTTGTTACAAAGTCAGATGAATGAGTTCATACATAGTTTTTAAACTCTTTGTACTCCTTAAAGATTTAAACACATAAAATTCGAAGAATAAATATAAAATATAAGACTTATTTACATGATTTATGTTATGGTGGAGCATTTTGTATACCTACGGATGAATCTAATGATCAAATCCGCTCATGAAACCGCCTACAAAGCCGGCTCCATTACAACCTCCGCATAGCATTTCTTTCCTGCCTCTGCAAGAAGAAAGACATGAAAAATAGCATCAAATAAGTCATAAAATAACAACATGCTTTTCAATTTGTCTCACTAGGATACTTTTCTTTTTTCTATTTATGTTTTGTCATTCATATTTTGTTCATGTACGATGCATGACATTTTGGGTTGTTTTCATGTATTTTATTCATGTCATAATCATTACATCAATATTAAAACCAAATTTTATTAACACCCAACATTTTTTATTGTTTTCATGTATTCCTAATATAAGTAATGTGTCACCAAACTTAGTAAGTGATAAGTTGGACATTTTTTTAGAGCACATTGACTATGTACATGTTCAAAAAAAAAGTAAGGAATTCATCAATGTATCAAATAAGTAAAAACAATTATGAAAAAATGAGGAAGGAAAATAATTAGTACCCACAAAGCCAACACGAGTCCCCAGCTTTAAATTGCCCGTTAAAGAAATCTTCAGGGTTAATACCAACACCTTTGCATTGCGAACATTGAACTGCACCTGCAATTCTCATAAAATTTAGTGATCCAAGTGAAAACTTTTACCACGTTTTTTTATTCCCACAACTGCTATTCGTATAAACTGTTGTCTCGATAAATAATATTTAAAAAATATCCGACAAACTCGAGAAAATGGAAGAACAAAAAATGAAGGGTTGGATCAAATTAATAAGATTTGGATTATCAAGTAATATTGAGATAAGTGTAAAACTGTAAATTCACCAAATTAGCCCTAGCTTTAAGTAATTTTGACTACATTTGATTCTTAGCGTAATCCCCTATCAAAACACACCTCCTAAGTGGCAAACCAATACCTTTTCTATCATGTCAAGAAATAATAATAATAATAATAATAAGCACAAATTTTGATTTTAAACAATCAAATTCATCAAATTTAGTAAATATATGAAAGGGAGTTTTTCTACTTTTCTTGAAAATACATATAAAAGCGATTTACTTACCATTTCCATCACAATCCGTACATATGACACTCTTTGCTTTTGGCTTTGTTTCCTTGTCTCCTGTAGCCTGGATATTTGCCAATAGTACGCAATTCGTATATCAATAACTCATAGTTTCCATACCCGAAAAGCCCTAATTGTGAAAGTAAGATTGCGATAATAAAAAAGAAGTTTAGAACATTTGATTGAATGCAAGAAAAGAATGGACCTTAGGTTTCAAAGAGTCAAACTTGACTGTTCTATGAAGCTTTCGATTGCTTTGATTGGCGATAAGAACGCCTATGATTGAAAACCCACAAGCCAAATTGAACCACAATCTGGTAGAGTTAGATTAAACAGCATGAAAGTGTAGATTTTTGGTGGGTGGGAGTGAAAATTTGCAGTGGGAAGAAGACAATTTACCTGGGTTCTGAAGAGGTATGAATTGTATGGCTAAAAAACATGAAGATAAAGCCATTGTATTATTCGGAAGTAGGAAGTGAGTTGAAGATAATGATGATATAGGCCACACTTCCCATTGTTCTGTTCTAGAAATCAAAATTGCCCACAAAAATTTGTAACTACTTACATATTTATGTAACTGTTAAATTTTCATAAAAACTCAGTGCGTTTTGTGGGAGAAAAATGAGAAAACTGTTTTTGGTTTCTTGAAAAAAGAAAGGTGTTAAGTATAAATTTAAAGTATAAATTTTAAAAGACGTATTTAGGTAAAAAAAAATTGAGTTTTATTATTATTATTATTATTGGAAAACTAAGTGTGAGAATCATACATTATATGAGTTCACTAAAAAATAAGAAAAACTTAAAAGGGTAAGAAAATTTCAAAAATATAACAAAAAGATTATTCTTTATTTTTTAGTGTAAAAAATATTTTTAAATTGAAAATTTTGTACTAAAAACACCAACAAAGTACTGAGATAAGTTTGTAGTAACCAGTGGTAACCGGTTAGCTCAGGTAAAATAATGACTTGGTTATTTAATGGATATTTACTCCTTCAATAACCAAATTAGGGTTCTTAATCTTCATCAACACACCTCCTTCATGCCACGGCTCCTATGACATCTTTATCTTCACCAACATTTCCGAAATCAAATTCACGCATTTCCAAGAGCACGAGTACAATTGATTATGCTAACCCTTGTCACTAGGAGAAGTCTTGCGTAATTTGGACCTCAACTACAAGGGATAATTCGGGTAAAAGGTTTACGTGTTGTCGTAACTCAATGGTAAATGAATCTCATATATTTATCATCTATTTCTTACATTGTTGATGCAAATTTTATTATGTATATATATGAAGGAATCCAAGAAGAAAAATGTGATTTCTGGGAATGGGTCGATGAAGATGAAGAACCAATAACACAAGATAGCATTGAAATGAAGATATCAATATTGGAAAATAATTTATGGACTCACAAGGTGAAGGCGGATCAGGAATAAATGAGTTTTAAAAAAAGGATGATAAGTTAAGTAGGAAATATTGGAATATCAAATGTTGTATGTTGTTGTTTTTTGTTATGTTTGTATTGTATGTTATTCTAAAATAAAGTGTACAGTTGGGTAATGTACTTTGAAGGTTGTAATGCAATGACTTTGGTAATGTAGTTTGAAAGTTGGGTTAATTTAATGACTTATATTCGAATGGAATTAGTGTTTTCTGGAATGGAAAATAGTTTTGATAGTGGAATGGAATCAATAATTCCTGGATAAAATTGAGTGTTCACAGTGGAATGGAATTAATGATTACTGGATAAAATTGAGTGTTCACAGTGGAATGGAATTAATGATTACTGGATAAAATTGAGTGTTTACATTAGGATGGGATCAATGATTCCTGAATAAAATTGAGTGTTCACAATGGAACGGAATTAATGATTCCTGGATAAAACTGAGTATTTACATTGGGATGGAATTAATGATTCCTGGATAAAATTGAGTGTTCATAGTGGAATGGAATTAATGATTCCTCGATAAAACTGAGTGTTTACATTGGGATGGAATCAATGATTCCTAGATAAATTGAGTGTTCACATTGGAATTGAATTAGTAATGCTAGAAATACTTAAGTTTTCATCTAAATTGTACACAATAAATGATTCCAGCAACAATATAAATCCAAAATGGAACATTTAAAACACATAATTGAGTTTTCATCTAATGTAGGCTACATAAAATTTATATGCCATTATAATATTTAATAGTACACCTAACCAAATACATGTGCATTCATCAATTTTTTGGCATAAATACAAAAAAAGTTATCAAAATATGTGCCCAATAAAAGATGATTAGATTCCTTAACAAAAGATGTCCAAAACAAAAGTTGGCCCTTACACTTTCTCCTAGATTGTGATAGGATTTTCAAGATGTAACATCCCGATTCTCAGGTATGAGATTTATTCATTAAGCATGTTTTTCCATTGGAACACGACGTGGTGGAAGCCTCACCACGGCATGTTGAAGGACTTTTGTAACACCCAAAGTTTGGAAGGCCAAGAAAAGAAACAAAACCTTAATTTTAAGGGAGACTCGATGAGTCCAAGGATGAACTCGGCGAGTTCGAGCGGGATCCGGGTCGAGGAGTAAGTGACCGACTCGACGAGTCGGCCAAGGGGACTCGGCGAGTCTGGTCTGTGCGAGGAAAACCCTAAAATCGGGACTTGGAGCCTATTTAAATGTCTCATTCTCTCCCCTAGGGTTCCTATACTGCCTCTTTCACCCATAACACCAAACCCTCGTCGCCTTATTCATTGATTGAGCCAATTGGAGCCTTGAAGAGTGCATTAAATCTTGGAGAAGGAAGAGGGATCTTGGAGGTGCAAGAAGGGGGCTATAGATCCGGGATTGGGAAGATATTTCTAAGCATTTGGAGGTAATAAACTAGTTCTTCGACTCCTTTGCACCTAGATCTATGTGTGTGTTTTGGGCATTCTTGGCATGATAGTAACCATTCGAGCTAGGGGTTCAGATATGAGGTTGCTACCTCAGATCCATGCTTATTTTGGTCTAGAATCCCGTAAAGTATCAACTCTTGGTATATTGGTGAAGCATGGTTGTCATAAACCCTAGTTTATGGTGTATTTTTGCCTAGATCTCCTTCTCTACACGTAAAGTTTGCAACTTTACGTGAGGAATAGGCTTGGGAAGGGTAGATCTACAGTTTGGAGTCCATGCATGACTCAAAAGTCCTCTGCATGTAAGGAGATCTGAATGGACTTGGCGAGTCCTTTGAGTGGACTCGGCGAGTAGCATGAAAGTGAGGAGCAACTCGACGAGTGGGATGAACAGCTCGTCGAGTCAGATGAAGATTGCCTTGTACTCGGCGAGTCTGTTCTTGGACTCGGCGAGTCAGGTTGCGAAACCCCAAACCCTTCGAGTTGAGACTCGAATCAGTGAGTCGGGTGGAGACTCGGTGAGTTGGACAGGTCAGGACTCAGAAATCGGTAGACTCGGCGAGTCGAGACGCGAATGGAAGGAATCTAAACATTTGAACTCGGCGAGTAGGGTTGACCTGGAAGGTTGACTTTGACCAGGACTTTAACTTTGACCAGAGTTGACTTGGTTGTCTTTCGGGGCTCAGTTAGACTCAGTGTTGCTTTGATATTGGTAGTTCGGGGAGCAAGGGGAGCAGGAGTTCAGTGAGTTACCGGCAGCAGCTAGTGAGATCATTAGCAAGTTCAGCCAGTGCAGGTGAGTTTCCCTTTATGTGAATGGGTCTAAGGTCACAATGTCGGCCCATGTAGTTATGAGTAGAAGACCCGGGGGTTAGCCCTAGGCACAGTATGATAGTATGATTTTCAGGACGAGGTCCCTTAATAGCGGGCGGGTGCCCAAGGATTT